TGAAAGGGGGAATTCATAATAGTGTTTTTAAACAATGTACTGATTATTATAAAGATTAAATACCATCATTGTATTCATAACATTGTATTCATTTATCTGATAATTAATATCTTCAACAAATCAATGAATGAATATTTATAGTGTATTTAAAATAAAAGAATGAAAAGAAAAAGAAATGATAAATAAAAGATGTATTTGAAAGAAATGTAAAATAAAATGAAATCACAACATTTGATTTGATTCTGAATACTCATTTGATTATTATTTTCAATGTGAATATATCATCAATTGAAATGAAAGAGAACAACACATTAATTGAAACATGATGTTAAAAACAAATAACTAACAATGAATTGAATTTATACTCTTTCATAACACAAGAAGTTGAATAATTTATAATTATTATATTTAATATTGATGAACATCAAACATATCAATTATCAATATAATGAAATAGATAGAGATCAAAGAATATTAAAAATAAATAAAAGAATTTATGATGAATTAGAATTAAAACAAACATTATTAATGATAAAGAATTCTAATTATTCATCAAGAATGAGTTTAATTCAATATATTAAATATAAATTGTATTTATTTTAAGAAAATAAAATAAAATAGAAATAAAAGATAACAAGATAATAATGATGAAGAGTGTGTCTTATTAATAAATGAATGAAATGGTAATAATTATGAAAGTAGAATAGAACAATAAATAAATGATATATAACAATGATGTTGATTATTGAATATGGTAATGAGATGTAACATTATCATAAATAAAAAGAATCAAACAATAAACATATTTTAGAAATAAAATTTAATTATCATTTCAATATAAATATAAAATATTATTAAATATGTTTATTTCTTTGTTTTTCTTTTCATCTTTTTAACATTCCACTCTTTAACTTCTGTTGCTTCTCCATTAATTTCTTTTATTTCATTTCCATTTATACTATTAATTTCTGAACTGACATAATTCAAACTATTGATAATATTACATCTTATTGAATTTATTTTACAATCTTCGAAGTTGATATTATCACAAATTCCATCAATAATTAAATTATCACATTCAACATTATTTAAAT